TCTGTCATCACCTAACTACAAAGGCCGCGGTCCAAGAATAATAAAAGTAGTATTACACTCCGAGAGAATGACGCAAGTCCTATTGAATAAGTGGTCAATGCTTAGAGCCAGGTTGCCAACAGAAATCCAGCTAAAGGTAGCAGGCGCACGACCAAGAGTCGTAAGCAATTTGATGGAACTAGCAAATTCTTGATCCGCACAGTCCTGCGGAGAGACCGACAGAACAGTACACACGGCACACAACAGGACAGAGCACAGCACGAGTGAAACTTCTGTTCAGGAAAGCTCAACAATGCCATGCTACTTGACTGAACTTCACAAACCAAAAAACGATTAAAAGCCGGTCACCTAACAGTCAGCTTAAAGGCAAACAAATTTGAGATCCATCAAAGCATTCCTAACAACAAAAACACTATCCTGTATATGCACAAACGTCCCATGTCTTCTAAGTAAGCATGCCGAACGTAGAGAACATCACGATTCACGACCGCGGGACATCGTCGTGATCAGTGAGATCTGGTAAACCTTGAGATAACCGATTCTGAGGTAAATTTACGCGGTATATCGCTGCTTCAGAACAGTAGAACTGGAAGGGATGGCGTGATTCTTTACTATAATACAAACCTAGGATGTGAAGTTATCGATCACCCAGAAATCCGCACGTCTGATTCCCTTTGGTGCCACGTATGGTTGCGGAACAAGGACACATGTCTACCAGCCGTAATTTACCGCCCATCAAACTCTACGTCGGAAATGGACTCTACACTGAACCATGCCTTTCAGTTTGCTTTGAAGAAGTCTTATACCAACATTCTTATCGTTGGAGATTTCAATGTGCACGACATGGAAGCGCCAGCAACCGATGGTGTGCAGTTTAAAGCCTGCTTGCAAGAGCTAATAGCTAGCCACCCTTTGTACAACCACGTAACCTCGCCCACCAGATTTCCGACTGCTAACAAGCCGTCGATACTGGATCTTGTGCTAACTAACGAAGAACTCCTAGTTGACAGACAGTTACAAGCACACCACTGGGTCGCAGTGACCGTGTAACTCTATGCTATGCGGAACATGCAGAAAAGGAGGATGATAAAGTGCATCCTGCCACGCCCTATAACGTGTTATCAAAAGCTTGTTAAGGATACATCTTGGACTTTCTTAACCGAATACCCCCAAGATGTTGCCTGGGAAACCTTTACAAGGACGTTTAGCACACTGGTAGCGCACACATCGGAACAGAAGTCCTTCCCATCCAAAAAGAAATATAAGCCATTTCTGAGGAGCAGAACACGCAAATGTATGCCACTGAGGGACTTGGCATGGCGAGGTCACAAGGACTGCCCGAATGCCGAAACCTGGACTGCATACATGACACAGCGTAACTGTTGTGTAAATTGATCCGCGAGGACAAGATCAAGCATCAGCAGGAGTTAATAAAGCGATTCTGCACGAACCGCAAATTTAGTACAGGCACGTTAACGGCCTTCGAAAGGTAAAACGCGGGATTCCAGCACTAGTCACGGCCGATGGATGCACGCGGTCAACAATGGATGCAGCCGATCTCCTATGGCTTCATTCCTCCCAAACTTTCCAGCATGTAACGAACCCAACTATTCTCGTTTAGATTACTCCACCGTCAGGTTTAGACAACATCACCTTCACTGCGGAAGCTGTGTTGAAGAACCTGTTAACCTTGCGTATTCACAGTTCTCCTGGAGTCGACAACATCCGACCGAAAGCTCTGCAGGCAGTAGCTAGTGATCTAGCAGAACCACTGGCCATTTCTGTCAGTGATATTTAGAGGAGAACCATATTCCACCAGTATGGAAGCGAGGGTTCATCACACCTATACATAAAGGGGATAGCCGCACTGACCCTACCAACTACTGTCTAATAACGCTGCTTCCTGTGCTATCCGAATTTCTGGAATCAATCATCGCAGATGCGTTGATGCAGTATCTGGAAAGCCACAACTTAATAGCCCCAGAGCAACATGACTTTCGTCCAAAGCGTTCGTGTCTACTAAACTATTGATCGCACGTAATAGTTGAGGATAGATAGGACTTCTCAAAAGCGTTTGATCGCTTAGACCATTCAATCGTCCTTTACAAGCTTCGGAACTATGGCATTAGCGACCCAATTCCGACTTAGAGTAGCAATTTGCTACACGAACGACGCGTGGAGATGAGAGTCTGGGAAACTGTCCGATGTAATCGATGTGGTGTGTGATGTACCACAAAGCCCGATGCCCCAACCTCGTCTATTCCGAACGCTCAGTAACGATTTGGCGAGATCAATTGCTTCCGATTTCCAATTTTTCGCGAATGATATCAAGATATGGGGAAGGATCAGAGAACCGGACGACCACAACCGTATCCAGTACAATCTTAAGGCGATGTCGAATTGGTCAGTTCAAAACGCTCTACCTTTCAACGTAGACAAATGTCGCGTTGTGCAATTACGCCATAGACATGACTACATGTCTTTGCCTGGGGCACACGGATTACAGACCAACCCCCAGGAATATGACCTTGGCATGCTTGTACAGAGTCACCTGAAGTGTTCAAAAGAGGCAACCATCACGTCGGTATGCTGATAATGGCACTTGGGAGATTTAACCCATCAATCCGTGCAAAGGTGCACTATCCCTACGTGCGCCCGCACGTTGAATACGCTATCCAAGCTTGGGAACCTTGGTTGAAGCGCGACCTAGAGGCGTTAGAGGCATCACAACGTAGAGCAACAAAGGATCTAAAAGGTCTGTGCTTTCACGCTTACCACCGAAAGCTGAAGTTGCTTGGAATTTTCAGCGGACGCTATCGAAGGCTGCGCGGGGATCTCGTATTAGCGTATCAGATACTGTGTGACCCCAATCACGTATGCCGCCATTTGCTGAAACTTAGCCACAACGCGCAGCTCAGGGGTAACTGCTTAAAGTTGAAGGAACAATATAGCCGTCTAGAGTGTCGACGGAATCATTTTTCCCTTCGGGTTTGTCAACCCTGGAACGCACTCGCAAACTCAGTTGTATCCTCTCCTACTTTGGACCTTTTCAAAAAACGATTAGATGTTGCTCTTAGGTCCCAGCACTTTGTTACCTAAACTGCGCTATTGTGGATTACGCCAAGCATGCATTTCAACAGGATTTATGTATCAAATGGACCTAAGTGAGCGACCACATTTTACTTTCTCACGCCTTACATCAACGATCACTGAACCTTGTGTATTTCTGCATGCTTACACATGATTTTTTACTCTTTTAAACTGACGTTATTTATCAAAGTATTCATCGAGGCAGACGTTCGGTAGATGACCCAGATATATTTTGATTCCATCGTATTCAGCCCAGCCATCCTACGGGACGTGTCAAGTACTTGCTTTTATCCCGTGATAAATCACTGTTCAAATGCCGCGTTGTAACTTTTGTTTTACTTCGCATTAATAAACGTCTCAGTATGGCAAACACTTCTCCCCTCAAGGTCGTAAGCAACCACAATATACCCAGCTCACCCACTTAAGTACCTTGGTATACATTTACTTCACAATCTTTCTTGGTCAACACGTTAAGGAAACGTTCCGCAAGGTGCGAAAATTATCATTCTATGCTCTCAGACTCAAAATGTCTTCAGTACCCTGCTCTTTAATTTACAAATTTGTGACTGCCTGTGCTCCTCCCCATTGGATATATTGCTTGCTGATCGTTTCTCATGGTCTTCTACATAAAGATTTCACATTGATTGCGCGTTCTATTAAGCTCTTTTCCAAGTACAGTGGATTGTCCAGAGTGTAGTTGAATGCATCCTCACTAAGCACTTTAGTGCATGTGACAACATTTCAGCAAATATTTTAATGACCCTTTTCACTCACTTCAAGCTGATTTATCTAACGCCCCTCTCCTGCTCGTCTACCCACACTAAATTTAGGGATTTGTTATCTCGCACAACACATTATCACAACTCTCTTACAGGACTTATCCCGTTTTTTGTGGACTCCAATAAATTTAGTAGCACCACGTATGAACGTTTACTTGAGTGATGTGTATGCATTTTCCACTCCTTTTAGGCTTTTATTGCAATTCCATGCTTACTCATGTCTCAATATCCGCAGTGCAGGTGTAAAATGCTGAAAGTGTTCCCAGTCAGGTTCATAAAACCATTTTTAACTTGAAGCATGTACGAGCCAATTCATCGGAAGAACAGATGGGGCGAAATCAATCGATGGTAGATCAAGAGTTGAGTGCACACGCACCTGGAACGGTTAGGCGATTTCAAATTTCTACTTTCTACGAAACTTACGTTACTCACAAACATCCTTCAAGTAATCTACCATCGCCCTTTGGACTTCAGGACAGTTACTTCGGTCACTTGGGAAGTGATGAATGAGTGAGCCAATCTGCAACACCAGGACATTTACTGTGAGCCCATTGGCAATACGTCGCACACCAAGCAGAAGTCGTGTATTAAATTGCACACCTAATCGTCAACCCTCGGTAGCTCAGTGGTAGAGCAGCAGACCGGAAATTCATGGACAGGGGTTCGATTCCCCGTACAGGCAGATTATTGTATGCGGTTTAATCGTGACTTCTACTTTCCACGAACCTTACGCTACTCACAAACATCCTTCACGTTTCTGACAATTGCCTATCAGACGAATTTAATGGCTACCAGAAAGGAGGCACAATGAAGCTCAGTCCGACAACCAAACGAAACAGGGAACTGATGGCTGGATTGTTCACTCAGAACACTTGAATCTGATGTAGATAAATTTATTACGAGAAAGTGGAATGACCTTAGGGATTACAGTTCATTTGGGGGCTTCGACCCCGCCACGTTAAAACCATGCGCCAAGCGTAGAAAGAACCCGTTTGAGTGTAAATGGTGGGTTCGGGTTAATACGAGAGTAACAGTGATCTTCATTAACTTGCATACATTAAGGAGACGTGGTGATCAATATGACCCTCGGTATTGATTGCATTATGAAGGTAGATAACAGTGGACTCTTACCGGTAGGATATGTGCCGGCAACGAGAGTACTGACAAGCTACGACAGACTCCCGCATGCGAGCTAGACGCTGATACTTCCAAATCAATATCAGAAGGTAAAGGAGTCCAAGCCAGCGACATTTTTGGTTTGTACAGCGATCCAACAGAGATATCATACGGTCCCAAACACATGCTCTCGCGTACCGCTCCACGCAACAGAGCTGAGTGTCTGCGATCGGCCATCCGCAGACGTTTCTGACGAGAGACAATGAGGCCACCTCGAATCCTTCGCAGTAGCGAGTGTACCAACCTACCGAGTGAAACCTTATAAAGAGAAACAATAGCAGTGACAAAAAGATATGTAACAGGGAGATTTACTGCGAGCTAAACAGTTTAAATGCAACAAAAGCGTCATCCAAAGAGGTAAGATTTCTATGATATAAACCAAAAGGAATATTGAGAAAAGTAAAACAATGAAATGAAAATATTCATGGAACTGTATGAGGTCAGCAATTGCGTCAGACCGCATGAGATGCTAACATAAGGCTAGCGTCAAAAGCGGTACAGGACATTGCGGTTCCAGTGGCTGCGAACGGCCGCATAACTCAAGCAGATACATGTGATTGGACCTGCACCACGCATAAGTCCACATAGATACACCGCGTCCAGTGTAGACATGATGGAGATATGGAAGAAAGGTGTGGGGGCGTAAAAAGCAATTTTATACGAAAAGACCCAACATATTTCAACGCACAAAAGAAGCCCAGAGTGACAACAACGAGGATATCTGACGTAGCAGAACAACGAAGACGCGGCGGATGTACATTGTAACAGGTAAACACCCAGTCACTCAGATCGTGACGGGAAGCTTTTCAAAAATCAACCAATCGATTCAACCAATTAGCGCAGGCGAATTACATCACTTCTCTCGCTTGGGACTTTGCTTCATGCAGGTTCGTATCGATCACCTGCCTTTGGTGTCCGTCTGGATTTGGGTAATTTAAGTGACGGTGGAGCCGACACCGTCTGACTTTCACAGGCATCTCAGTGTTGGACGGAAAGGCCGGTCCAGTTGTTAGGTACAGCCGACGAGCGTAGATAATCAAGCCGTTGGCTAATCGGTACGTGGTAGGCGCACACACGCGTGGATGGTTCTCAGCGGCGCAGACAGCGTTGCGTGACGCTGTAAAGGACGTCGATTTTTAATCTGAACAAAGAATTCCGGTTGCAATGGAATCGAGGATCTGGCGTAGAATTGATGGTAAGTTATTGTGCCGTTCGGGATTTACAAGAAAGGATATACTATCCGCAGCATGAAGTTTGGTGCGTTTGGGCCTTCTAATCATTAGTTCCGCAGGCGTTTTCCTTATGGCTCTATGTTCACAGGTTATGAATGATAGCAGAACCGTCAAGGCAGCTTCTTCCTACTCTCCCCCTGCTAATTGGATGCCCTGTAATGGTTCCTTGAGAGACCGGTTAAGCCGCTCCACTTTGCCATTAGCTGTGAGAATGTAAGATGCAGTCCGGGAAGGTGTTGAAATCCTAACTAAAGTACTGTGGACCATTATCTTCTGGAAATCCGAAACGACTGAACACATATGTTTGGGCCAGCACAGCACTACAGAAGAAGTCACTCGGTCAGATACATGAACTACAGACTACCTGCAAGTCTTTCTTATTCACTGGGGCAATGGCGAAGGAGCCGATAACATCAATGGCAAATTTGACTCACGACATAATCGGTTATGGTGTCGGTTGTCTGGGGACCCTAACAGGTAGAAAATTTTTATCCGCCAACCGAAAAGTCTTACAGTTTTTCCCAAATGCCTCAATACTTGCTACCACTGGTAGCCGCCAAAAGTAATGTCGGACCCTGTCTTTAGATCGGACAATACCTGAATGACCCCTATGGACTCAAGCAATTAATTTGTTAACCAGTGACAGTGGAGCTAAAAACGCCGGGCATTGCATGAGCCGACCATCTAGGATTGAATGTTTTTCACAGGTTTCACACTACGGAAGAAACTCACATGAAACTTTGTTGTTCATCGGCCATCCTCCCTTAACATGAGCTGCGTTTGTATCTTAGTTCGTAATTCACTAATCCTCAGGGCAGACAAATCGGATCCAAGACTGGACATCATTGCTGCCTCTCTGAGTATTTATCTTCTGTCCTCCAGTTCTAAAGGTAGGCGGGATAATCCATTCGCGAGTTGCTTGCCATCCTGGCCGGTAAACGATTTAGAAATAATAACAGAGAAGTCTGGCGTGCTAACAATCGATCCGCATCGGGCAGAACCCCATAAATCCATTTTTCAGGGGAGTGGTTAAGGCGGAGTGATCAGTCAGTAAAACAAAACGGTGGCCAGTGGTAAAGAGGCCATTTCTCGCGAGCCCACAAACAAAGTCCTCCTCACCCGCAAAATAAGTACGTTAAGAGTCTGATAGCCTCTGTGAGGTATAAGCAGTAGCTTCTCTTTAGCGTTTTGTCCACACAATACAACACAATGACTTTTTCTCATACAACCTGATGTCTTGGCCGTCGCAGAGAATGATCAACGGCGCCCTATCTACTGCATCGAGCAGGGTGGATAGGGATCTGAATGCTAATGACCAAGCCATCCCGTCTTCTTATTTCCTCTCTTGCGCTTGTTCCTCCAATCTAACCTCACTTTCAGACCTCCAGTTTTTAACCACAAAATACTTGGACCTCCTTATCTTGCCTCAACAGTCGCTTGTCTTCTAGATTCAAATCACACGCAATCGCAGCGGGGCGTTCCAGTCCAGTCGATAAGTCGAAGTTCAACAAAGCGTACGTCAGTTCATCCGTCTCTCATCGGAGTCCTCGATAAGACTTATGTGCCTCAACGTGCGCATTTTGCTACAGATTGGCCAAAAGGTAGCACCTGCCCGAACAACGGAGACCCTATCGATCGAAATTTATCATTTATCGGAAACCCGCCTGCAGTACTCGAGCTGCGCGCTTAGCCTGCGATCCCCCATATGCGATATGGCGGTATTTTTCACTGCGCATGTCTGGTGATGACGCAGCTTAAAATGCCGGTCAAGCTGGCGTGCGCATTGTTTCGAGACTCGGACTGATGGTGCCCTGATCGACTGGATCCCAATAAACAGCCAGATACGTGTCATTAGATTGGATGGACCGTTCAAAACATCGAAGTCGCGCAGGGGCAAACAGTGCCTGTCTGTCATTGCGGCCTATGCGTCCACAAACTGTAGAACTGATTCGGCGAAAGATTATTGTTACCATCAACTTAACAATTTCTTTCGTTACAGAAATAGTACGGATACTGTGGTGCTGGGTGGTACTCTGAACGCCCGTCAGTAAACTGCTCTCTGAATCGGTACATCTGGACGGCCAACAGCGTGTAGGTTCCCGTATTGTTTACGGTGCACGATTACTTCATTTGTGTGAAGATGTTCGCTTATTACTTGCGAGCACTAACTTCCGACACGACACTCGCCAGAGGGTGATAGGGCACCCACCAGCCTCGGATAAGCCATGGACGCAAATCGATCACATCGCGATCAGTTACCGCTGGAGTGGCTGTGTCCAAAATTGTCGCTAGATTTGTAGTGCATGTGTGGACAATGACCATGCACTTGTATGTGCTGATTTGTGGGTGCGTTTTGGAGGACACTCAAGGCATTGCCAGCACATAGCGCAGCCAACTGCCCTGAATCCGTATCGAAGTACGCTGGCGTTCGGTTTGAGCAAGCGCTCACTGAGCACGGTTGAAGGCCATTGGTCGCATGTTCACCAGACATTGCTGGTAGCAGGTAAATCCGCATGTGAGCAATCTAATGGAAAACATGGACAGTGAGTCTGTACGTAGTCTCTGGAAGTTATAGGTGGTCGCCGGTACATTCCCAATGAAAGCCAACATAACAAGACTCGGAAATACCTCAGGGCCAAACTACGTGCTAGCTTGAAGTGAGACCGTGAATCCTAGTGGTCTCATCATGCGTCAGAGATAGAAGTGGCCGCTGACTTTGGTAACCATCGAAAGTTATTCCGTCTGATACAGGAGAGGGCAGAAAAAGATCTGATGTTTGTTGAACTATATATGATGAGAGTAGACAGCCTAACCACAACAGGTGAAAACGCTTAGAGCGTTGGGCTAAGCACTTTGAAAGGCAATTTAATCGGCCGGAATTGTTAGATTTCGCACCGGCCAGTGATCGCCTTGCTCCCTGGGTTATACCCTTTTAATCCACCTTCACGTCCAGAAGTCGAACGAGTTACCAGTAAACTTGTGGGAGCAAGAAACTGTTCCAACCGACCGGATGGGTCACGTTCAGAATGCGGCAACCAAATTGCTTGCCTCTATCGTCCTTCGCAGACTGACTGGCGCAAGCTAAAGCCAGATACGTGAGGAGCAAGCCGGGTTGCGTCGAGGTCGGGAATGCATCGACCACATATTCACCTTGCGTCAGTTGTTGGAGCACCGTGACATATACTGGCGATTCACATCAAAGGTGCCTTCCATTCAGTGGATCGATGTATACTTTGGGACTGTCTACTCAGGAATGGTGTGTCCGAGAAATATGTAGATATTATCCGAGTGCTGTACTCGCGTGGCACGGGCAGAGTGACGGCTTACAGCAAGCCGTTACCACCCTTCAAGGATGACCGCTGTGAGCATTCCTCTTCAACTTCGCTATGGGAGACTGCATTCACTGAACTCGACTTAGAAGGTGTGGGACTTCTCCCAGGTGACCGAATTCTTGAATTGGAGTATGCTGACGGCACTGCCCTCATCTGTGACAGCTCACAAACGTGTCAAGCGACTCTGTATAGATTAGCACTGGCTGTCAGCTGTTTCGAGCTATGATTTGCACCTTCGACGTGATCTTTTTTTCCAAAATTGGCACGAACCGCCTCCTGCACTGACCCTTGGTGGTGACCAGCTAGAAGTCGTTAAAAATTCAACTACCTCGGCAGTTGTATCAGCACCTGTGGAATCGAAAAGGTCACAAACCGTATATCAAAAGCACGAGGCGCTTTTGATAACATCCGCCACTTAAGACGTCTGCGCGACATTACTCTCTGCTTGAAGTGCACGTTTGGCGCGGAAGCGTAACGGACTGCCGATCGTACTGGTCAACTTTTCTAGACTCTGATCACGCATTGGTTCGTGCTAAGATTTGCATGCGTTTCGGAGGATCACCTAAGCGCGCCCACTACCGACCGGACGTCGCGAATCTACAAAACGCTGCGGTTTTAACCAGGTACCAAGCCTCACTGTCAACTTTGCTTGGCTCAACTGTTGACGGTGATCTCGATTCGCAGGGGGCGCATA